AGACTCCCAAGCAGGCTCCACACTCAGCACGGAGCCCAATGCAGATATCAATCTCACAACTGAAAGATCACTACCTGAGCGGATATCAAGAGTCATATGCTTAACCAACTGAGCCACCCAGGAGCCCCTGACAAAGTTCATTTTTGATAAGCCGGTCATCCTAATGGGTTGCAGTAACATCTCATAGTGGTTTTGAATTGCATTTCCCTAATTATTAGTGATGCTGAACAACTTTTCATGTGCTTACTGGCCATCTGTAGACCTCCTTTGGAAAAATGTCTGGATAGTTTTTAATCAATCCTAAAACTAGGTATTAAAATGAAAGATTCCTTAGGCACCCTGGCATTCCTATAGCATGAGCTGCTGACTGAGAATCACAGCAAAGTCCAGGCATGTTTAATATGACAGGGGTTTTGCTCATTTCTCTAAAAAGCAGCCTCCCCATATAAATGGGCTCAGTTCAATTAAATCAACCAATTCTTAAATGCAGGTTACTGGAACCATCCTACTCTAATAAAGCTTAGCAAAAAGGATGCATTCATTATACCTCTCCAGAGGCAAGAGCCTTTACCAATTTAACTTCTTGCATGGAGCCCAGACAATCCATTTCCCAACAAACGATATTCCCTATGGAAAAGGTAATAATACACCAAGGCATGGAATGAGGAATTAATACCAAAAAATAGCACATTCAGTAATACAGCCCACTAAAAATTTCTGCCTTAGGACAAGTCCATGTAACTACCATCAAAGGGTAATGTTTTCCTGACCTCATACTGCCAAGAGGGCTACAACCAAATGGACCCCTGAAAAGCTCTCTTTAGCAAATATTTCTCAAACCAGTTTTACCCTAAAATTATTCTACTAGCCAAACAGCTATTATTCTTAAGCAAAATCTGACTGCAATATACTTCACATATACAATGTTCAGAAAGTAGACAGGAAGGAAAATATTAAAATAAAACTGGCCCCTATTCTATATTAAAGGGTCCTGACTGTATTACTTGTCTGCCTGTCTTCATTCATTATTTATCTCACACCCATTAAGAGAAACTTTTTTTTTTAAATTTTTTTAATGTTTTTATTTATTTTTGAGACACAGAGTGCTCGCTTCGGCAGCACATATATTTTTGAGACACAGACAGAACATGACCAGGGGAGCAGCAGAGAGAGAGAGAGGGAGACACAGAATCTGAAGCAGGCTCCAGGCTCTGAGCTGTCAGCACAGAGCCCGACTCGGGGCTTGAACTCATGGAGTGTGAGATCATGACCTGAGCTGAAGTCGGACACTTAACTGAATGAGCCACCCAGGCGCCTCAAGAGAGACTCTTCTAAGTGTTTAGCCTCTATCCGCAAAAAACAAACAAACAAAAAACAACAACAAAAAACCTCTGCCCTCATGCAGCTTATATTCTAGTTCCCTTGGATTCACTTTGAGAATGGTGAGTGTGGGACATAACAGTAATTTGTTTTTGCAACTCTGCAATAAATCTGACCATAAATATCATAATTTCTGCTATAAATGTGTGGGAATTGAAAGTACACAGAAAAATTTAAATAGTGTAGTCTTTGTGAGCACTATGGGCATAATAAGCCCATAAAAATTCTTTCTTCTAAGAATCAATGACCAACAAACAACTAAAATGATTCCATCTGAAATAATGAGGGTCTGCCTTCTATCGGCAGTTTGGTCCTTGTGAATACCTACTTCTATTTATTTCTGAATACTCACTTAGCAAGGTAACTACTTACTCAAACCTCAAGAGGTTTTAACAATCAAGTAACAACTCAAATTTCACTATCATTCATAATTAGCGAATGCTCTAGATTTTTTAAAAAACAAAACTAAAGAAATAACCCTAGTCAACTGATAACATTTTTTAAAAAGTAAAAAAATAGCATACAAAGTCATTTCTAGCCAACTAGCTAGTTCAGACTGTTCAGACATACACTGTCCAATATGGTAGCCACTAGCCACAGGTGACTATCGAGCACCTGAAACGTGCCAAACCCAAAGTGAAATTAGTTTCAGTGTATAACATACACACTGAAGAAAAACAATAGAAAATATTTCAACAATTTTTAAATATTGATTACATAATAAAATGATACCATTTGGGGTAAAATGAGTTAAAACATTATTAAATTCTTCTTTTATTTTAATGTAAAAAAAACTTTTTTACTTTTTTCAATATCAAAAAATATGTGGCTCGGATTCTATTTGTTTTAAACAGCACTGGTTTAATAGACTTCTAAACCTGCACACAGAGTGATACGTGCAATATCTGTTGGAGCTATACTTAGAATTTCATACTTATTCACTTCTCAGTTCACACTCTTCAGCCTATCTCCTATATCAAAATACCAAACATATCAAATATTTTTATATCAAAATATGAAACTTTCAGAGTCTAATGTGAAATTGTTTAGCAGAGACTAACAAATATTTGAGTGACCATCTGCGCAGGGCATTCAATCCATAAAGTAACTTGTTCTGCTATCCTTCAACAGCCAAAGGTACATATAGTCTGTATCTAGCTAATAAGCACTCTGCTCCTACAGTATGCCTGGCACCATGCTAGACGCTTTACTCTCACTGACCCATAAAATCCTCACAACTACCCTATGTAGTAGATTCTATTTAAAGAAGAAATTGAGAGGCACCTTGGTGGCTCAGTTGCTTAAGCATCCAACTCTTGATTTCAGCTCAAGTCATGATCTCACAATTCAGGAAATCAAGCCCCACATCAGGCCCTGCACTGCCAGTGTGGAGCCCACTTGGGATTTTCTCTCTCTGCCCCTCCACTGCTCGAGTGCTCTCTCTCAAAAATAAATAAATAAGCTTAAAAAATAATAATAAAATAATGAAGAAATTGAAGCACAAAGAGGTTAAGTAACTTGCCAAAGTCCCACAGCCTGTGGAAGTAGGATTCCAACCAAGCAGGCTCTAACCAAAACCACCACACATTTTCCCTAAAATAAGGACTACACAAGGGGTGCCTAGTTGAAAGTTGGAAGAGCATGCAACTCTTGATCTCGAAGTTGTGAGTTTGAGCCCCACGTTGGGTACAGAAATCACTAAATAAATACATAAAACTTAAAAAAAAGAAAAAAGAAAAAGAAAAAAAAAAAAAAGAAAGACTACACAAGACTGAGTCATTATCTTATAGGATTGGGTTCTAGTTGTGTGTACGTACCCATTACGAAAAGACTAGAATAGATGGGGCTTAATGCATTGCTTCCTACTCTCATTCCACCCTTCTCAATGGCAGGTTAAAGTTGATCTTGATCTTGCTAAAGGTTTACACTATGCTCCCTTTTCCAGAATTTCTAGGCCCTATCCTATTCCACTGGTCCAATTCCTATGTCCTTCAGGCTTCATTTCAGATACCATCCCCATGCAAGCTTACTCAGATTCCCCCATGATTTAGGCTGGTCACCTCTCCTCCCTATGTTCATCCCTTTGTAGCACTTCCCACGCTCTGTTGTGACTGCTCAAGGGGTCTACCCTGTTCACCACTTATAATACCTAAAACCGTGCCTAGCATCAGGTGCTCAATAAATATTTGCTGAACTATCTAACCATGTGACCCACCCAGTTACAGCTAAAAGTGATGGCATATTAAAAGCAAACTTAGTGGTAGGAAGTGCTAATCCACAAGCAGAAAACAAGTTCTAAATTTCAGGGAATTTATGACAGGTCAAGAGAATAGTATGATACACATCCAATAATGATTGCAATGTCTCCCACCCATCCCGAAAAAAGGAAGAGTAAAATTAAAAATCTATTTAAAATTATCATTTGCCCAACTTAATTTCAGTATAATTTCATATGAATTAAGTAGCTAACAAAAATTTTGTCATAAATCCAAATCAACCATTCCAATAATGCTGTAAATTGAAATCAGATTAATTTTGCAATTCCCAGAGTTCAGAGAAGGCTGCTGTTGCTTTTTAAAATCATCTCAAGTATGAAACTAGTTACATGTATAATTGGGTTTCACTGCACTGCCCCAATGCTGGGTGCTGGGTTCCAAATGACGGGCAATCATGTATCCTTTAAGATATTTATTGCGTGGGGGGGGGGGGGGGGGGGGGGCATTTTTCGCATACAATTCATTTAACACAAGTCGTCTTAATGCCACTAAATTTTCTAACCAGAATCCAAAGGAATTTTCCCAGAGTCTTCCCCCTTTTTTTTTCCAAAACCAGAAACCAACTAAAAAGGTCAATCTTTAGTTCTTACTTCCACACTAAGCAATTCTGAAACATAAGGTGAAAGTACATTTAGAAGTTCTTCGGCTAGGACTGGCCAAACGTTTTCCCGTAAATTCTAGCGTAAAGTCTAACAGAAGGGAGAACTTCATTCTTTCGGGTTTGAGGACAGAAACTGATCATCTCCCTTAGATTACTGTTTCTGTTGATGTCTGGAAAAGCACTGTGAGGCAAACATGCCATTGAGTCCCACCCCAAGCACTAAGAGCCTCCGATTGTTTGACACATCAATGGATTAGTCAACGCGGGGGAACTCACTTTTCCCCTTTAATTTGCTTTAATTATTCCTCACACAAACACTCAAGTTTACTCTAAGTTATGACCATATAGAATCTTCTCTTTGCCCTGAAGTATAAATTCAGGCCTTTACCAAATGACCTACGGCTTCAATCCCAACCACTAAAATAAATCCCTTACAAGTATCGTGCATCTAGTAACGCCACACAAATATGGAAAAAGCCAGTGCAGTCGCTTAAAGAAACAGCATTCTGGAACGTGGTTAATGCTGCATATTTTGCATCAGAGGCACCGAACAGAGTAGGAGACTTGAAAGCAGAAGACCCCGCCCCAGTAAGCTCGATGTCGATTCAAACAGTAACTTAGGTCTGTCGCTTGAAATCGGAATCACTGAAACAAAGGCGTTTATTACGGGAAGCAAGATGTCTGGAGTAACAGAAACGGTCTGCAGCTACTCAGACCGTACACCATCTTCCCACAGGTCTTACCTATGGTGGAAATAAAGGTGGTATTGAAGGCATCATCCGAAAAACGAAAAAGGACGCAGGTCTTCCCCACTCCCGAGTCTCCGATCAGGAGCAGCTTGAAAAGCAGGTCGTACGTCTTCTTCGCCATTGGGAGGAGCGGCTCAGGCTCTCGCCGCCGGCGGCCCCAAGGGATCGGTCCCTCTCACTACAGCCAACTCCTCGCTCGGGCGTTCTCAGGCCGGAGGACCGGGGAAGCGTGGGAAAAACGAGGGCTCGAGAGGGCGCGGGCGACCTGCGAACGGCCTCGTCGAGGAAGCCCCCCGACGGTGGCGGCGTCCGGTGCCTCCGAGGGCGGCGACCGCGGCTCCGCAGCCTCTCCCAGCCGCTCCGCCCGGTTCCGGGGAGTCGGTCGGGACAAAATGGCCTCCCCTCCCCCCTCAGGGCTGCTCGGCCGGGACGCTCCCACGGGCGAGCAAGCAAGCTCTGCAGTCGAGGGAGTGCGGCGGGCGTGAGGACAGTCTCCCTCCCAAGCAGAAACTCCGCGCCAGGACGCGGCGGTGGCAGTGGAGGACCCCGAGCGGACGAGCTCAGCTACATAGCCACAGGAAGCCGAGCCGCCCCGGCCAGAGCCACCTTTTCCCCGTGCCCTCTCACGCCGGCGTGCGCGCTGCCTGAGACGCACGCAAGGACGTACGCCCGCCCTTCCCTCGCGCCCTAGCCCTGCGGATCGCCTCTGCGCACGCGCGCCGGAGCGTGTAGGGGCACGCGGGGGCGGGGAGTGGTGCGCCGGCTCTCCGAGCCTCTGTCTGAGGCAGGACGGAGACGAGAGAAGGGAGGGGCGAGAGAGGGCGAGGCCGCGGGCGCGCTCCCTGCGGCCGCCTGATAGGGTGCGCCGCGTTAAGAGTACGCCCCGCGGGGAGGCGCTGCCTGGTGACTGCGCAGGCGCGGCACGCTGGAGTAGCCCCTTGACACCCTCTTTCCTCCCGGGGCCGCCTCCCCGGCCGCGCTGAGGATGCCCCCGGTTGTGTTTGTCGCGTGTGTCGAGCTGAGGGGCTTGGCGCAGCAACAGCCCTTGATGGCCGTGAGTTCCTGTGTAGCTGTAGTTCGTAAACGCCAGAAAAAGTGGCGCCCTGGGTCATTAATAGGCTCTTTGCTAAGATGAGACGCATCCTGGAGTGCCCTCCCTGGTGGCTAATGGTAACAGGAGAAGCATTAGAGCTACATCCTGGTTTACTTCAGGAGCAAAAGTTGACGTTCCAGAGAACAGGAGTCTGAAATGGAAAAACTGGCCGGGCTGCTCAGGTTGGAATGATGTAATCCGCCTTCCAGGGCGAGGGGAGAAGGACTGAAGAACACCTGGGTGCAGGGAGAAGTCGAAGCTTCGGTGCTGTGCTCTACGCCCAGGACCCGCTCCAGGCCTTGCCGTCCTTTTGGAATGCCCGAGAGCCCAGCAGCGCCATACAGAGGCAGCAGGGCTGGTCCCTGCGGCCAAAAGCTAACCACCGGTGTCCAAAATTGAAGGACAGTGAAGCCAACCCCAACCCGACGCTGCCTCTTCCTTGCCCTTCCTTTTCCTGTGCCTTACACCCTTTCATCCCTATTAGTCTTTATCCTTTCCTGTTCCTCTTTTTCCTTTCTGTCGTTTAAAGAGTCACGCCCCTGCCCTGCCATTCTCAATGTGCTTCATCGCTACCAAGCACACCCAGGATGTGGTGGTAGGGTAGTTGAACCTGGTGGGCTAGTTCGAACTCCTACAAGAGAAAACCCTGAGACATCTGGAAACGGGATTTGAGAGAGAAGTAAAAACTACATTTTTACATCCGCCACCACCCCCAAAACGTTTGTGCGTTTAATACGTAATTAAAATTGGTCTTCGAGGCCGTTAGGGTAATCATATTTCAACCTCCCATTTTTTAAAGACTTGGCTTGCATTTTTCCTTCCCAACCACCCCTGAAGCTTCACTACTGAAAATGCTTGTCTTCTCTGATACATCTCGCTCTTCAGTTCGTTTCTGTGATTGCTCTTGTCACTTAAACCTTATTCTCTATGGATCATTCTTTCTATAGTTGGGAATGTCTTATGATAATGCCAACAATTCTAATATAGGCTGGCCATGCAAATCACAAAATGAGCTATGATCAGTGCTTCACAGGTTTGTCGTCCGTTAAGAGGCATTACATTGAGCACCCCGGAGTGTTAGCGTGATTCTCCCTTTCAAATAAGTTTAACTCAAGCCCCAGTGTTGTAAAGCATTTCTTAAATGTTATTATTTCTAAATGTAGAAAGCCCAATGAATTCCATGACGTAAAATTTGGGAATAAGGGCAGTTACATATAAAAAATAAATTGGGGCGCCTGTGTGGCTCAGTTGGTTGAGCATCCAACTCTTGATCTCTGCTCAGGTCTTGATCTCTGGGTGATGGGATCCCCCCCCGCATCAGCCTTGTGCTGACAGCACAGAGCCTGCTTGGAATTCTCGCTCTTCTTCTCTCTGTATCTCTGCCCCCCTCCAAATAAACTTGAAAACATTTTTTTAAAAATTGAAAAATAAATTTAGAAACTTCATGTTTTATCCTAGCTCTTTCTTTTTTTTACTGTTTATTTGGTTTGAGAGAGAGCTGGAGCGTGCAAGTGGGAGAGGGGCAGAGAGAGGGAAAGAGAGAATCCCAAGCAGGCTCCTCGAAGTTAGCGGAGAGTCTGACACAGGGCTTGAACCCACAAACCATGAAATCATAACCTGAGCCAAAATCAAAAGCTAGATGCTTAACTGACTGAGTCACCCAGGCACCCCTATCCCAGGTGTTTGGAACAGTTACAGCACTTGGAGCCTTTTCTCCATGGGCTCCATATTCTGAAACCTTAGGAGTGAACTGCACTTACTAACAAATTGTATTTATTATTGGGTCCGGATCATAGAATTTTAGAGCTTTTGTATCTTTTACATCATAACTCAACTCCTGTGTATAATTTACAGATAAGTCTAAGGCTTAGAGACATTAGAGACTTGCCAGAGGTCACACATTAGTGGCAGAGCCAGCACTATATGCAAGGGGACAGGGAAGAAGACCTCTACAGGACATCACGTTGTATGGAGGTGGGAATTGGGAGGCTCAGCCAGTTCTCGATGTTCGGCTTCCCCAAAGTTAATTAAAAGTTTTGCTGGAGTAAGACCTAAGCATCAAGCTACGTTGCCATGGAAGGTGGCTGGAATGATCAAGGCATGAAAGGCCTCTGACTTTAGGGGGAAAAAAAGAATAAAATGGGGTCTATGTAGGCCTAAAAGGAAAACCTAGTGTTATGAAGAAATATTTGATAAATCCTAAAACTTAGTGAAAGAAAATGCCAATTTAGTTAGTACTAGTTTAGGATTTATGCCCTTAAAAATTTTTCTCTGTAAATCTTGCCCAAATATTTGCAAAGCCAAGAAAGAAAATAGATATATTTATATGCTCATATTATTAGTTAAGGTATTATTTCTATATCTTTCTAGAGAACACACAGCTGACCAAAGTCATGTTTCCAGTCCTCTGCTTCAACTTTTAGGACCTGCCTTTAAAGCTTATAGGAAATTCCTACCTTGGTGCCCCCCCCCCCCATTTGTGCTCCCTCTCTCTCTCTCTCAAAAATAAACATTTAAATTAAAAAAAAAGGAACATTCTACCTTGGGGCGCCTAGCTGGCTGGGTCCAAAGAGCATGTGATTCTTGATCTTTGAGTCTTGAGTTCGAGCCCCATGTTGGGGGTAGAGATCACAGACAGACAGACACAAACAAACAAACTTTAAAAAAATTCCTGCCTCAGAAGATCATTTTTTATGCCTCAGGATCATCATTATTCCTCTTCCTGCATGTATCTTCCATCCTCTGTACCTGATTTCTTCCTCTGATTTCTCCGCCCCTTGCTCTCTCTATCCTTAAAAATGGAGTTATTCCTGTGAATGGCAGTCCCACTGCTATGTCGTCACCTGGCCATAAAAGCTACCACTCCAATCTCAGGGATTTTGCCTATTTGCTAGCGCCTACCTCCTGCGTTCACTCTCCCAGCCTTCAGCAGAGATTTCCATGAGAAAGGTCTTTGTTAGACATCCCTGATTGCTGAGAGGCTGCAGCCATTCTTCTCTCCATCACCTGCTGATATTCTGCTCTGCCTACATATCTTGACTTAGTCCTACCTCTTGTTAGAGAATGATTGCCCCATGAGCCTTCCCCATCCCATTGGATGTGTTTGTCCTAAGCTTCTCTGGGGATACCTCAGTTCTGAAATGCTGGACTACTCAGCTGGCACTTAATGGCAAGCCCTAGCCAACGAGCTTTATCTCCTTTCCCAGCTTCCTCACATTAGTCTCCAGACAAACTGAACTGGTCTTTTTTTTCTGACTTCATGCTTAGTTTCACGTGGTTCTCACCATGTGAAATGCATCCCCCCCTCCCCCCATCTCTATCCCTTCAGCCTTCAGCTTAAATATCCTCGCCATAGCCTGTCTTCTGCAACACTCTTGCTGGAAGGAATTTGTTTCTCTTTTGTAATACATATTTATCTTTAGAAACTTAGAACCTGCATATAAACAAAACAAAAATTTTTAATTATTAAAAATTCTACTCCCAGAATACCTGGTTGACTCAGAGAGCACATGACTCTTGATCTTGGGGCTGCGAATTTGAGCTCCATGTTGGACACAGAGCACACTTAAAAAAAAATCTACCCCCAGAGATAACCCCTATTAGTATTTTGATGAATAACCATGTAAATATTCTTCCCGTGGCTCTTTATTTAGACACTTCTTACACATTTTCCACATTTAGAAAGATATTTGTGTACATATTTTATCCAATTGGAGTCTCCTTAAGAGCTTGTGACTATTATATTCATGACTTTGCAAAGAGTCTTCAACATATCAGAAGGTCAAAACATGTTTATTGAAGAGAAAATAAAATGAAAGTCACCAGTTCACTTTTTTCCCTAGAAAACAATACTAATTTGGAGAAATTCTCAGTGTCAGAAAAAAAAAACTGAAAACTCAAAAGAGAGGGAGCCTGGGTGGCTCAGTCAGTTAAAGATCTGACTCTCGATTTCGGCTCAGGTCATGACCTCAGAGTTCCTGAGTTTGAGCCCCACGTGGGGCTCTGTGCTGACAGCAAGGAGCCTGCTTGGAATTCTCGGTCTCCCTCTCTCTCTGACTCTCTCCAACTCACATGCATGTGCTCTCTCTCTTAAACATTTTACTTTACCTTTTTTAACGTTTATTTATTTTTGAGAGAGAGAGACAGAGTGCAAGCCGGGGAGGGGGCAGAGAGAGAGGGAGACACAGAATCCAAAGCAGGTCCAGGCTTTGAGCTGTCAGCACAGAGCCCGACGTGGGGCTCAAACCCACAAACTGCGAGTTCATGACCTGAGCCAAAGTCGGACGCTTAACCAACTGTGCTACTCAGGCGCCCCAATAAATATTTCTTTTTGATAGAGCGTGCGCAAGTGAGCAAGGGGCAGAGAAAGAGAGAGAATCCCAAGAGGGGAAGAGAGAGGGAGAAAGGGAGAGAAGCAGGGCTAGAAGCAGGGCTCCTGTTCACCTGAAGCGGGGCTGGTGCTCACCCAAAGCAGGGCTCTAGCTTACCCGATGTGCGACTCAAACTCACGAACCATGAGATCATGACCTGAGCTGAAGTCAAGATGCTTCACAACTGAGCCACCCAGGCGCCCAAATAAATAAACATTTTTTTTAAATAGAAATATAAAAATAAATAAAAGTGATTATGGATCCAGTAGGAACCCTCACCAATC